AACACATTGTACGAGTTGTGTACCTTTTGATCCAAGTGAGATCGTTTTAGCAGAAGGTCGTAACCACCAAGGATCCCATGGTTGAATCATTTTGCTTAATTCTCCAGAAATCAAGGCTCTTTGAAAACCCTTTCTCTCTTCTAAGCTTAGATCATCGAGACTAACTTCATCTCCGGCAAGAATCTTCTGAACAATTTTCTCCGGTAGATGCAAACTCGAACCTTCATCATCCGTCACGCTATCAATTTCCCCTTCTTCTTCTTCTTCAGAATGAAACCGTTTCAGAATCTCGAGCATCTTCGTTTTTGTTTCATCATCGGATCGAACTTGTCGCAACTCACCAATCACATTCTCTCTCATGAATGATTCAGTGCACTGGTCACTGTGAGATTTGTAACAAGGAAGAGAGCAGTAACGGAAGTTGCAGCGTGGACAAGTATACTGCGAGAACTGCTTATTACACACATGGCAAATAATCCGCGAAGAAGAAGGGTTTAACGGAGACGAATTTGAAGTCTCCGATGTAATAATCGTCTTCTCCGGCATCATCTCCGAGAAAACCTTGAAGAAAGAAAACTATCACGATTCTAAATTAGGGTTTCGTTTGAAGAAGACAAATCTAGAAACCTCATTTGTAAATCAGGTCTGGGCCAAGATTGGGCCTATGGGCCTTAATTCTGATAAGCGGGTCGGATATTCGGGTCCGACTCTGTAAGATCGTCTTCTTCAGTGTTATATTTTCGCTTTTCCTCATTTTTTCCTCAATCTGAGGATTCCATGAACGAGGAACCAAAATGAGATCTCTTCTCTTTGTACTATCACTCATTTGCTTTTGCTCACAATCAGTACTTTCATGGAAGAAGGAGGAGTTTCGCAGCTGTGAACAAACTCCGTTTTGTAAACGCGCTCGATCTCGTACTCCAGGAGCGTGTTCTCTGATTGTCGGAGATGTTTCAATCACCGATGGAGATCTCGTAGCGAAGCTTCTACCGAAAACCCCTGATCAGAGCGATGGGGATCAGATCAAGCCGTTGATTCTATCTCTCTCGGTTTACACGGACGGGATCGTGCGGCTCAGGATCGATGAGGATCATTCGTTGAACCCGCCGAAGAAGAGATTTAGAGTTCCTGATGTGGTAGTGTCTGAGTTCGATGAGAAGAAGATCTGGCTTCAGAAAGTTGCGACGGAGACGATCTCTGGAGATATTAGTCCGTCTTCAGTAGTATACGTATCCGATGGCTACGAGGCGGTGGTGAGGCATGAACCGTTTGAGGTGTTTGTGCGAGAGAAATCAGGTGATCGCCGTCGCGTTGTGTCTTTGAACTCTCATGGGTTGTTTGATTTTGAGCAATTGGGGAAGAAAACTGACGGAGATAACTGGGAAGAGAAGTTTAGGACTCATACGGATTCGAGACCATCTGGCCCTCAATCCATTAGCTTCGATGTTTCGTTTTATGATTCAAGTTTCCTTTACGGAATTCCTGAACACGCCACTAGCTTCGCCTTAAAGCCTACCAAGGGTCCTGGAGTTGAGGAATCTGAACCTTACAGGCTATTTAATCTAGATGTTTTTGAATACGACCATGAATCGCCATTTGGGCTTTACGGGTCGATTCCATTCATGGTTTCACATGGAAAATCTGGTAAAACTTCCGGGTTTTTCTGGTTGAATGCTGCGGAAATGCAGATTGATGTGTTGGCTAATGGATGGGATGCAGAGAGTGGTATTACATTGCCTGCGAGTCAGAGTAGGATCGACACACTCTGGATGAGTGAGGCAGGGATTGTGGACACATTCTTTTTCGTCGGGCCTGAGCCTAAGGATGTTGTAAAGCAGTATGCAAGTGTGACAGGTACTTCAGCCATGCCTCAGTTGTTTGCCACTGGTTATCACCAATGTAGGTGGAACTATAAAGATGAGGAGGATGTAGCACAGGTGGACTCGAAATTCGATGAGCACGATATTCCTTATGATGTTCTCTGGCTCGACATCGAGCATACAGATGGGAAAAGATACTTTACATGGGATAATGTGTTGTTTCCTCATCCAGAGGAAATGCAAAATAAATTGGCTGCAAAGGGTAGACGGATGGTGACCATTGTGGATCCTCATATTAAGAGGGATGACTCGTACTTTTTACATAAGGAGGCTACTCAGATGGGATACTATGTAAAGGATTCATCTGGAAAAGACTTTGATGGTTGGTGCTGGCCTGGTTCATCATCTTACATTGATATGTTGAGTCCAGAGATTAGAGAATGGTGGGGTGGAAGGTTCTCGTATAAGAACTATGTTGGTTCGACTCCATCGTTATACATCTGGAATGACATGAATGAGCCTTCTGTATTCAACGGTCCAGAGGTACAACTTTCTGTCTGATTGGTCTTTGCTTGTAACCTTATTGTTTTCTATAATCTTTATATCTCAACTTCTCATATTCATTTTGGGATTGTGGCATTGGGACGAAGACTGACTGGCGTTCTTTTTGAATAGGTTACTATGCCAAGGGATGCTTTACACGTTGGAGGTGTTGAACACAGGGAAGTTCATAACGCTTATGGATATTACTTTCACATGGCGACTTCCGATGGACTTGTCATGCGTGAAGAAGGGAAAGATAGGCCTTTTGTATTGTCAAGAGCAATCTTTCCTGGTACTCAAAGATACGGAGCAATTTGGACTGGAGATAACACAGCCGAATGGGAGCACCTTAGAGTCTCCATTCCAATGGTATTGACACTTGGTCTTACTGGAATCACATTCTCAGGTACAAGGAAATTATCTGTTCATATTCTGCTGGCGGATTATTTTTTCTTTCTCAAATCTAATGGAAGCTTTTTTTGTTGTTGCAGGAGCTGATATTGGTGGGTTCTTTGGAAATCCTGAACCAGAACTACTAGTTAGGTGGTACCAAGTGGGTGCTTACTATCCATTTTTCAGGGGTCATGCTCATCATGACACCAAAAGACGGGAGCCTTGGTTGTTTGGGTAAGATGTGATTTAGTACTTGTATTTTTCTTGTCAAGATGTATTATTCGAGTATTAACGCTCTAGGTCTAGTCTATGAATATTTGCTTGATGGATGACAAACAGGAAAAGGATATCAGTTTTACATTAATAAGCAGATTGATATGCAGTTGACAAGTAAATAAGATCGTGGAAATAGAACTTAGTCTTGCAATCTTGTCAGTTAATTTTACAAATAGTTAACCCATTAGTTTCATCAAGTAGGCATTGCAACGGTTGCCAGAGGTCCCTCTGCCTTTGTTTTGCTGGCTCATAAAGTTTGCACTTTCTCATTTGAATCAAGTCAATTTCATTTTGTTTCAGTGAACGGAATACAGAGCTCATGAGAGATGCCATACACACTCGTTACACGCTGCTCCCATACTTCTACACGTTATTTAGAGAAGCAAATGTTACAGGTGTGCCTGTCTTACGTCCGTTGTGGATGGAATTCCCACAAGATGAAGCTACTTTTAGCAACGATGAAGCCTTCATGGTCGGTAATGGTCTATTGGTGCAAGGAGTTTACACTAAGGTACTTCGAGCGCTTAAGTACAGTGTCCTACTGATTTCCACTTACATCTCCTTGCCTCTTTACTTAATTACCGAAGAAATGATCAAACCAGTCACATACTTTCTTCTCGTCTGTATGCAAAATTAGGGAACAACCCATGCTTCTGTGTATTTGCCTGGCAAAGAATCATGGTATGACCTGAGAAACGGAAAGACATACGTTGGAGGCAAAACTCACAAGATGGATGCTCCGGAGGAAAGCATTCCTGCGTTTCAAAGGGCGGGAACTATCATCCCGAGGAAAGATCGGTTCCGGCGAAGCTCTTCTCAAATGGACAATGATCCTTATACTTTGGTACGTAGAACTTTTCCATTGTCACAAGTGTTTTATCATCTGCTCTCACTTCAATGAACAAAGTAACTCGGTCGTAAAAACTAAAGAAGGCATCTCATAAACTGAACTCCTAAGATGAACTATGTGATCTAACTTCGAAACCCCAATAAAGCTAGCATGACTGAAGATGCTATGGTGGGCCAAAATCCCGCTAGCGAGCCCTGATATGGTTGGTAACGGTCTGTAATGTTTGTGTTGTTATATTCAGGTGGTAGCTTTGAACGGTACTCGAGAAGCAGAA